AGGCAGTAGTAGTAGAGGCACCGGCAGCAGAGAGAGCTCATATGGACATTGACCTAGAGCAGAAGCCTCCAATGGGTTCACCACATCCTTTCCAGGAGCTGAGTCACCACTCGCAAATCCAGGACAAGCATCAATCTTTTGATGACTCCAGTTCCCCCGTTGGGATGAACCAGTCATTCCTGACACTCAGGCTCGGACAGACAGCTTAAGGGAGCGTATCCAGACACTAGAGGATGCAGTCGTCTTCCTCAGAGCAGATGTGACCACTCTCTACACGGATGTCATGACAGTGCTGCAGGACATTTTTAGATATATCCGGGGTTCACGCCCTACCAGATCATCTTCATCTACCTGACCTCTCTCTCTATCTCATTTATACCTGTGTTTTTAAACTGCTACTTTGATACTCTTATTCCATTTTTGCGGCCAGTCTATTGGCCCGATTACTGTGATGTACCTTATACTATTTTTATATTTAGATATTATAGATGCTTTAATCTTCTAATTGATATATCTGTTAATGATTGACTCCATTATCTGGTGCATCCCAGTGACTTCAATGAAAGAATGCTGCCCATATTTTTTAGGACCATCCTTATCCCTCTCTCTCTATTTCATTTCCTATCCCACTTGCACTTACATGCCCACTGTGCACTATTACTATCCCATTTGTTATTTGATGAGGTTTTATTCCAGTGTCATCTTTTCAGGCTCACAGTTAATCCCAAGTTTGGGGGGTTTATACCACCCACTTCGGATACTTGTGTCCCGACCATTCATTGCCATAGCTATAATGTTATACTCTTTCCTTTTTCTTTTGTTCTCATTGCACATTGAGGACATTGTGCAATTTAAGTTTGGGGGGGGGGGTCATGTGTGTTACTTGTATTCAATTCAAGATTTTGAGCATGACTTGTGTATTTAAGGAATTTTTTATGACTGGTCCATCACAAGCTATGATTTTGATCTTTTGATCACTATATTACTTAGAATTTAAAAATTGCCTGACTTAAAAGTCCAATACTCCTTGTATGCCTTATGGATGCCATGTAGGAGTAAATTTTTCGAAAGATTGATATCTTGCTTGCACTTGTAGTCCACATCATCCTAATTTTGTGATTATTTTAAGATTCACTCTAGGATTCTAAACTAGCACAGATGCACACTAGTATTCATTTATGAGATACATGCTTTGTTGATTATTGATTTGCTTCTATCCCAATTAAACTAGTAGTGCATAGAAAGCTTTCATTCTTGATAAAGGTGGATAACAAACCCTTTTCACTAAGTATCCGGGATTCTAACCTCATCAAGCAATGACTTTCTCGCGCCAAAAAGTATAGGGCCCAAACTCTAGGTTAATAATTAAAAAAAAAAAAAGTTGTTGCAAAAGCAAATAAAAAAAGTGAGGACTTCTCCCAAAAGGTGAGAAGTGAGAAATGATTAGATGGAGGTTATTTTGATTTGTAGTCTAGTTGATTTGAATTTCTAAGTCTTTAGGGGTGTTAAACACCTAATACTTTAAAGCCGTCCGGTTTGGGAGTCATTGACCTAACGCTCGAGCTCATGGATCGCTAGAAAGCTTAATAAATTAACACATTGCATTATACTTCTATCTTTAATCCTTAGGATTAATAATAATAATAATAATAATAATAATAATCGAGTGAAAATAATAAACGTACCTAGTTGAATAAAGTTTTAATAAAAGGTTCATTCTTTGTCTTGATGATAGGTACTAGATTAAGGCCGGATGTGATCAGTTCTTTAGTTGGCTTAGATATCAACATATTTGATGTCGGTTCACTTAAAAAGGATTCTAGAGTTCTTTTAATTTGCATGATCATTGTCTTGATGTGTAAAGGACCATATTTGCTTACTTGATATTGAAATTTTGGGAAATTGCTTAGAAATGGTTAAAAAATTGCATATTAGAGGTAGTTTGCTCCTAATACTTATTTGGAATATTAGTGCCTCTTTAGTGAGAAAGAGCTTAATGTTTGTGGGTATCATTTCTGGAAACTCTCACGAGACTTCACTCGTCCACTAGGGGTAACCTAGGGGTTTAAAAGGCTTATTGCATACTAAATTCAATCGTGTTCCCTATGAAAGTGGCATTATCCATTTATTGCTTTCTAGTTCATAGTTGTATAATTGTTTATTTCTTTATTTTTTTCGTAGTTCATTGCTAGATACTAGCAATATTTATGTTTGTGGGCTTGATAAGCGCTGAAAAGTGCGCATTTAAACCCCTTAAGCTTGAATGTTATAGGACCTTATTATATCTTATTCCCCCGTTTTAGTCTAATTTCATGTTATTTCCCTTTTTAGGCACTTATCCCCAAAATAAGTCAATTAAGCTGAATTAGAGCATTAAAAGAAGTAATCTCAAGCTTAGTGAAAGAAAAGAGCAAAGTAGAACCAAAGTGGTGGAAAAAGCCTTCTATGATCAATCGAACCAAGCTACGATCGGTCACACTGTGATCGTTCCAACCATGCCATGATGGATCGAGCTTTTTGTCCTTATCTTTAAGAAAATTTCCCTTTCAATCGATCCAACCTTTCCTTCGATTGATTGAACCCTTTTGATCTTATCCTCGCCTACTACTTTTGTCCTTTTTTCAAAATTATCTCAGCCTTGCCCTTATCCAAAAAGTACTCTGCCATAGTTAAATTGATCCGAGCAACCTTGTGATTGATCGAACAGCCTCAAATTGCGTGAAAAACAGAGTTCAAGCCAAATTAAAGGTGTTCTTATGGTGCAATCATTTGGAGGTCCTAGTGCATAGGTCTGACTATTGGGTGTGACACTTGAACTACCTATATAAGGATTTTAAGCTATTTTTAGGAGAAGAGTCCAAGAGGAGGCTAGAGATTAGGGAAAGAAAAACACAATTTGGGAAAGTTCTTCCACTCATCTAGGGTTTCTACCAAGAGTATAAGAGGAGGCTAGAGATTAGGGAGAGCAAAACACAATTTGGAAAAGTTCATACACTCATTTAGGGTTTCTACCAAGAACATAAGAGGAGAAAGATGATTTCTACCATGGAGATAGCCCTTAAGGATTGGAGACAACATCAATGAGTAGCTAAACCGTTCTTTCGAGGCTAGAGATAGCTCTAAGCATGCCTCCTAGACTTTGATGTTTTGTAATTAATGAGGATTTTTGTTGTAATTCTTGTCTTGACATCTTATATATATAAATCTTGTTTCTACAATGATTTGTGTAGTTTAATACTTCCAATTGATCGTTTAGTTATATTCATATATCTATGTATATTATAATGAATGTTCATATGTTTATTTCTAGATTTTATGACATTGATGCATGTCTGTGTGTGTTAATATTATGAATCTAGTGATAGTCAAGGCATGATACTTAAATAGATTACTCTTGTGGTTTATTTGATGGTTCATATTTATTTCTTGATGGATTGTGCCACTTCCTTAGTTTAATTAGTTTAATTTTCATGTCACTAGCTTAGTTAGAGTGTAATTGTCTTACTTTTTTAGATAGGTGGACAATTCATACTTGTTGTTTGATGTTCGATGCTTATGAATGCAAGTAATACATTTCTCTAATTTAATAAGTGTACATTAATTGTGGACTTATGGAAGGATTAATGGCTTAATTTGATATGTTGTGCTTTTCACTAGATTGACTAGACAATGTATGCTTACTTGGCCATCCATGCTTGATATTCAATTAATGGCACGCACTTTCATTTACAACACATAATCCCCCTAATCCATCAAATATTGAATGTCTAGGAAGGTAATGCTTAGTGGTGAACTTTATGACCCAAGACTTCTCTCTCATATTCTCTACACCCCATTTGTTTTAGTTATTTTACATGACATTTATTTAGTTTAAAGTGTAGTATAATTCAACCATAAACCCTCTTTTGATCATTCGACCTACTAATTCAACATCGATTCCAAAAATACTGTTTCATTCCCCTTGGGACGATCCCTACTTACTCTAACTACATTAATAGTTAGTAGAGGTAGTGGCATTTTATAAATTCAAACTTGGTCACACTACATTTCACTTTACCATACCACTTTTGTGCTAACCTGGGTGCTTAACGACGGTACAATCAGAGATCGAAGCAGAGGACTTTATTCTTTATAAGGAATATTACAAAGAATTGTATTCCTTTTATTTATCATAAATCAATAAAATTTTGTTTTGTTCCTTATTTTGTTATTTATTTGCAGATTACAAAATTTGTGTGCACAATCCCACATAAATTGAACTCTATGTAGAGAAGAAAGAATATTCTGAAGGATGATTTGCGAATGAAATTGGCTGGACTCAATACTTTTGCATAAAAGAAATAAAGAATTTTTGTCCTCATCAAGGACCTTTTAATTTTACCTTCTGATACGTGATTCAAAATCCTCTCCACCACACTTCTAGCACTTTCAATGTTAAATTTTAAAAACAACTATTATAAAGATTAAATTTTAAACGTTTAATTTCACTGCTTTTGTACTACTATCTTGCAATAAACACAATATATATATAAATCTCTCTTTTTTTGAAATGGAGGTTAGAGTTCGAGTCCCCAAAAAGTATTATGTTGTGAATTGTACAGTTACTTGAATTTTTGGGGGAAAAAAAAAATTCTTACCAGTTGTATTGGTGGTAGAAATTTATGAAATTTCAAAATAATTGTGGTTAAATTGCACAGCACAGTGGTGTGACAGAATTAGGTTCATATTCTCACCATATGTCAAAAATCTATAACCACTTTTAGGGAATAGAAACTGCAGAAAAGTATAGGAAATAGAAGGTGCAGGAACGCGTATTTATGAAACCAGTTATATTGATACATCAACTCAGAAGCGAAGATGAGGATAGAAATGGAGAACATCCAACTAGGTACCATCAGCATTTATTTTTTCATAGGTACCATCAGCATTTATTTTTTTATTTTATGGAATTTAAAATGTGGGTTCATGCAACAGGTCATTGAAAGGAAATTATTAGAAGCTTACAAAAGCTTAAGGCCATGGACGAATATCGAAGCAAAAGCATCCATTGTGATCTTTGGGAAGGACACACCAACCTCCACAACTCCTTGCGAATCCTTGCACTCACTGATGGAGAAGGCCCCCGTAAGATCTGTGGAAACAATCTCGCTCTTCCGGGGTCTCCCCCACCCAAAATCCGGTTCGTAGAGGCCGATCTTGGGTGACCCTGCTAGCGACATCACTCGCTCCCATTTCAAACTTTTAAAACTCGAGAACCAAGTCTCGGAACCTTTCAACACTCCCTCCGGCTCGCCATTGTGAAGCCTTGTGGCAATGGCCTCTCCAAAAGACTCTGCTGCTACAAAAAACCCTTCTTTTTCTTCCATTAGTTGACCATGTCTTGCCGTCGCAGTACAAATAGCTAAGCAATTACCAAAATAAGTTGCGGGTATGGGCGGATCCAAACGTTCTCGACAATCTGCCAGGAAAACGAAGTGATCCAATTCATCATCTTCGTCATCCTCGTCCGCCCTAGTGGTTGCCCGTGATTTTAAAATACAAACCCACATGTAAGCACATGTTACCGTGAATGTCGATACATGTAATGGTACTGTCGAATGTTGTCGTTGACGGCGGGCCATAACCGATTCCTTGAGTCGTTGAACATCAGTTTTGGTTATGACGAATGTGGCTCGAACATTATCAGTAGTTTTACTCTGGTTTTCAAATTTATTACTATCACAAACTTGGCTCTATCTAGCCCAATGGGGTCTTTTATCATAGTCCTGTCGCAAAATGTGAGGTTCCCATTAGCTAAAAATGGCGCATCGCTGCCAAATTTGGTGATGGAAGCCCATGACTTGATGAAACCGTTGAAGGCCTTACCGTCCGCCAGAACATGGAGGTAGGCGAACCCGAAACAAATGCCGGACTCGGGGAATAGGGTGACCTGAATGGCTCCAAGTGGGACTACTTGTATTGTGCCGGAATCCGACACGTTGGTGTTATAAGCCTCTGGCATCTGAGGGATGAGGGGATGAAATTGATCGGCATTTCGTCCTTGATTTCCGGTTAGGTAATGGAAATCGTCACCTGACTCGGCAAAGGTCAGGTGAACGGAGTCACCGTCTAAGTAACGAATTTCGGGCTTGCTAGAATTTGATGAGGGAATTATCAGGTTAGCTGCGAGAGGGAAAAAGTGTTTGAGAGTGAGAGATAGTGTGTGTTTCAGATGAGGAATGAGGGACTCTGTGAAGTGGGGCTTAGAGTGATGGAACTCATAGAAGAGAAGCTTTTGGACGGGAGGTAGTGGTAGACACAGAAAGTCGAAAAAACTGAGTGGGAGAAACTGGTCGGCCACCGCACCCGGTGGTGGCGATACTCCGCAATTTTCGATCACGTTCACCATGTTGGCCGTAGCTATGTGTTGCATATTGCTGGCTTGAAAGAGTGGTGGGAGTAGGGATATTATTTATCTCTGGTAGGTTCATTCCACCTGTACTCTGTAGTGAAGCAAACCATCCGCAATAATATTGGTATAACAATTTTAATTTGAGTAATGATGCGGATAGGTCCCACTTTGAGTAAACGATTCAGTTGTGGACGAACATAGGTCCCACTTTGAATAAATGATTCAGTTGTGGACTAATAATTTTCAACCATACAACTAACATTACTTTCTCTCAAAAAAAAAAAAAAAATCTCTCAAAAAAATATAAAAAATAATAATTCCTTTTTCTATAGTTTGTTATGAATATTAAAAACAAGGGTATTGAATTTTGAATTGAAATAATTATTTAGAGACAATTAAAAAAAAAAAAATAGATATTGGTTTATATTATATTATAAGTAATGAGCCAATTTTGGTTTTTGACAATTGCTAAATAAGAACTCTCTTACACAAATTATCCCATTCTCCCATTGAAACCTAACTTCTTAATAACATAAAGTTTAATATTTTATTTATTTACTATATTGGTAGTGAATCAATTACCAAAATTTATTCATATTATGTTTGCAAAAATGTGATCTTTTATATATTTTTTTATTTTTATAAGTTCTATGTTGTGTTAAATTAGTAATATCACAAAAAATAGTACATAAATTTTTTAATATTTTATTTATTAAAAATTTATTCATATTATGTTTGCAAAAATGGGCCAATTTTGGTTTTTGACAATTGCTAAATAAGAACTCTCTTACACAAATTATCCCATTCTCCCATTGAAACCTAACTTCTTAATAACATAAAGTTTAATATTTTATTTATTTACTATTTTGGTAGTGAATCAATTACCAAAATTTATTCATATTATGTTTGTAAAAATGTGATCTTTTATATATTTTTTTATTTTTATAAGTTCTATGTTGTGTTAAATTAATAATATCACAAAAAATAGTACATAAATTTTTTAATTAAAATAAAATAACAATTATTTTGATACATCAATAAATTAAAAGGTGTCAAGACAACTAATTTGTCACAGACGGAAAAAGTGTTTGAGAGTGTGAGAGAGTGTGTGTTTCAGATGAGAAACGAAGGACTCTGTGAAGTGGGGCTTAGAGTGATGGAAATCGTAGAAGAGAACCTTTTGGACGGGAGTTACTGGTAGACACAGAAAGTCCAAAAAACTGAGTGGGAGAAACTGGTCGGCGACCGCACCTGGTGGTGGCGATAATCCGCAATTTTCGATCACGTTCACCATGTTGGCAGTAGAGATATTACATATCTCTGATGGTTCATTCCGTCTCACAGGTCTCTATAGGGAAGCAAACTCATCCACAATAATATTGGTATATTAATTTTTAATTTGAGTAATGATGCGGATAGGTCCCACTATGAGTAAATGATTCAGTTGTGGACAAACATAGGTCCCACATTGAATAAATGATTCAGTTGTGGACCAATAATTTTCAACCATACAATTAACATTCCTAACTTTCTCTCAAAAAAAAAAATGAATATTAAAAACAAGTGTATTGAATTTTGAATTGAAATAGTTATTTAGAGACCATTAAAAATTAAAAAAAAAAAAATAGATATTGGTTTATTTTATATTTTAAGTAATGGGCCAATTTTGGTTTTTGACAATTGCTAAATAAGAACTCGCTTACACAAATTATCCCGTGCTCTCATTGAAACCTAACTTCTTAATAACATGAAGTTTAATATTTTATTTATTTATTATATTGATAGTAACTTAATTACCAAAATTTATTCATATTGTGCTGTGCAAAGATGTGATCTTTTATATATATTTTTTATTTTTAAAAGTTCTATGTAATGTTAAATTAGTAATTTCATAAAAAATAGTACATGAATTTTTTAATTAAAATAAAATAACAATTATTTTGATACATCAATAAATTAAAAGGTGTCGATAACTAATTTGTCACGGCAAGAGTAATCAATTAGATGGACTCTCTCTCTCTCTCTCTCCTTCTTTTATAATGTTTCAATTCGACAATTCATTGATTTTAAAATCCATCCACAATTTTATCATTTTTCTATATTTATATAATATATACAGGCTTTCTATGCATTTAATATTATTTTGCAGCAATTCCAATGAGATAGACTATCATGATGCATCTGATGTTCTGGATACATTTACTACTAGTATTTTTTTTGCAGCAATTCCAATGAGATAGACTATCATGATGCATATGATGTTTTGGAAGATTAAAACATTTTATAGTCACTAAAGAATATTTTTAGTCCACATGGGACTGTTTGTGTCCGGTAATAAACGTATGGAATACTGCAAGAGACTCACAACATTATCAACCCAAAAAAATTACAATAAATCATTTTAATATGAATGCAACCTACCTATTCAAATTAATAGAATAAACAATGTTACTTTTGTTAGGAATATTTAATAAAAATTGGTTAATTAGGATTAATTTGACTGACTCTCAGGGTTGGTCAAATATTACATTGAAATACATTTCGCAAATTACTATCACTTGCGTTACAAATGTTTACTCTGTTTTTCACTCACATCCTAAAAGTTACTTTTCAGATTTGTCCGATCACTTTTGATATATAAAATGACATTACTACCCTTTTGACTTTGTGTTGATTTAAAAAAAAAAAAAAAAAGGTTGAAATCACTTAAATACCCTTTCCCACTTTGTATGTTATTAATAATAATAATAATAATACTAATAATAATTAATATTATTATATATATGTGTGTGTGTGCGCGCGCGTATCTAGCCCAATGGGGTCTTTTATCATAGTTCTGTCACAAAATGGGCGGTTCCCACCAGTTAAAAATGGCGCATCGCTGCCAAATTTAGTAATGGAAGCCCATGACTTGATGAAACCGTTGAAGGCCTTACCGTCCACTAGAACATGGAGGTAGGCGAACCCGAAACAAACGCCAAACTCGGGGAATAGCGTGACCTGAATAGCTCCAAGTGGGACTACTTGTGTTGTGCTGGAATCCAACACGTTGGTGTTATAAGACTCTGGCATCTGAGGGATGAAGGGTTGAAATTGATCGGCATTTCGTCCTTGATTTTCGGTAAGGTAATGGAAATCGTCACCTGACTCGGCAAAGGTCAAGTGAACGGAGTCATCATCTAAGTAACGAATTTCGGGCTTGCTTAATTTGATGAGGGAATTATTAAGTTAGCTGCGAGAGGGAATAAGTGTTTGAGAATGAGAGAGAGTGTGTGTTTCAGATGAGGAATGAGGGACTCTGTGAAGTGGGGCTTAGAGTGATGGAACTCAAAGAAGAGAAGCTTTCGGATGGGAGGTAGTGGTAGAAACGAAAGATCGAAAAAACTGAGTGGGAGAAACTAGTCGGCCACCGCACCTGGTGGTGGTGATACTCCGCAATTTTTGATCACGTTCACCATGTTGGCCGCAACAATGTGTTGCATATTGCTAGCTTGAAAGGGTATTGGGAGTAGGGATATTGTATATAGGGGTGGCAAAGTTCGACACGGCACGCCAACACGACACGTACACGACACGAGTTAAATGAGTAATGAGTTTACTATAAACGGGTTCGTGTCGTAAACGGGTTGACACGGTTAACTCGTTTAGTTAAACGTGTCGGATTCGAATTTTGGAGTTCAACCCGGGTAACCCGTTTAATTAAACGTGTCATCCGTGAACCGTTTAACCTATTACCTATTTTGAACTAATTAGTGAAGGATATTATCACTACAACAAAATGAGCTTTTAACAACACATTTTCTAAAAGGGGCAAGATAGCCCTTGTAGAAAGCCCTTTTTACAACGGGCCCGCATAGCCTATTGTAGAAGAGTAGTTGTCTCTTATTGTAAAAAGGGCTTTCTACGATAGGCTCGCATGGCCTGTTATAGAATAGGGTTTATTTTCCTAAAAACTTAGGCCATGCTTGGAATGGATTTATGAAAACTGTTCTCAAAAACAATTTTCAGAGAACAGTTTTTTGTTTTTTCAGATTTCAAGCTTGCTTGGTTAAGAGAATTTATAAAACAGTTTCCGGAAAACAAAAATTCATAAAACTATTTGGTTGTATGAGTTTTTGAAAATAATTTTCTGAACTAAGAAAATAAATTAAAATATTGTATATCACTTTTTTTATTTCTTTAAATGAAGATATTAATTATATATATATATATATATATATATATATATTTTAAATAAGTGTTGGAAGTAAATTCATTTTAGCAAGTATACTTAATAAAAGTTGTACAAATACAATATATCAAATTTAATTAAAATTTGACTAAATTGAAATACAATAAAAGAGTTACATTAATTACTTCAAGTGTCATATGCACTTTTAGTTGTACAAACATTAATTTTAGTCATACATAACCGAAACAAAATATTAGAGAATTACACAAATAGGTAATCAAAGCAAATCATTGGAGAATTATAAAAATAACTTCATCTAGCATTGCCTCTGAATGATGCCCACATTTGATTTGTCAGATGAGTTCTAAGGGCTCCCATTTGTGTTGCACCATCAAACAAGCGGCATGGTCATTCAACAATTCCTGAACATACTCATGATTTGTTAACCCCGAAGTTCTTTTTGGTACCTTGGATTTAAAGGAATCTTCATACTCCTGCATCAAATTCAAATATATACAATCTACAAGGTCATCAAAATCTTCATCTGAATCACTAGACGATGAAGACGACGTGTCACTCCAATCTATGTCCATCTTGATTTTCCAAGAACCTAGACAAAACAAAGTTGATGTGCTATAATTAAACTAAAAAATTGAAGAATAGTTTTTTTTGAAAAAAGAGAAAGTAAGAATCAAACAAGCTTTAATATGATAGTACTTGCATCTTAGGACAACCATTATGTTTTTTAGCAACTAGGAAGATAAATTATTGATATTCTAGTGTGTGTGTGTGTGTGTGTATATATATATATATATATTCAAGTGTAGGGCATGTCAATGGAATTTAACTGAAATTAGATGTTTGAGAAGAAGGTGACAATTGCAAAAAGGTGGTTCAACTGTGTGCGTGTATATATATAGTGTGTGTGTGTATGTGACAATTGCAAGAAGCTATAGAATGTGTGTGACAATTGCAAGAAGCTACAGAGGTGATATTCTAGTGTGTGTGTGTGACAATTGAAGATGATTATTGATATTCTAGTGTGTGTGACAATTGCAAGAAGTTACAAAGCTTGAAAAGCAACCACTAAGAAAGAAAAGTAAACCCATGTCCAAGAGAAAACAATCACCCAACCCACCATTACCACTAAGACAGAAAAAAAAAATAGTACTTTGACTTCCAATTGAAACATTTATTTTGGTTCAGCCAAAAATAAAAAGATAGACATTTTGTAATGGAGCAATCTTACCATTGCACCAAGTCCAACCACTAAATAGAAGTTTTCAATAATCCTAGGCACACACTGCTATAAAGCATGCTTACAAAATGAAGAAATGGTGGCAGTGAATCTACTCCAAATAATCACTAGCTTTTTCAAAGAAATTGGCTGCTACTATTTAAGTGCATTACCCAATGTATGCTCCATCCAAACATGATTTTGGAGAGGAAACTAGCTACTAAACTCAAAATGATACACAAACCAGCTAGGCCTCCAAAACTAAAGCTTTGCTACATCAGAGAGTTCCTATAAATTCTCTTTTTGGTTCTTTCAAGTGTCAATGGATATATGCAAAATTCTCACTTCAGTAGAGCTTACTCAAAGTGAATGCCATCATCAAAATTAGCTTCTTTATTTTTAAAACCAGTAAATTTATATTAAAAGACAAAAAACAGGACAGTCTTCCATTGAAGGTTTGTGTATCTGAATTATATAATTATATAAATATATATACGATGGTATCAAAATCTTCATCTGAATCACTAGACGATGAAGACAACGTGTCACTCCAATTTGTGTCCATCTTGATTTTCCAAGAACCTAGACAAAACAAAGTTGATGTGCTATAATTAAACTAAAAAATGAAGAACAGTTTTTTGTAACTCCCAAAACAAAAAACTGTTTGAGATCATCATCATGGCTTTGCAATGGTTCGTGAGTGTTATGGGTGCAATTAATGAATCAACGTAAACTGTCTAAATGAAAATCCATTGTTGTATTTAGAAGCATTACTAGATCAGTTTTATAACACACACACACACACACACACATATATATTCCGGTTAGATTCAGAGGCTTAACAAAGATTTCAAAAAAAAAAATATTTAAGTAATTAAAAGTTGTGGCTGAAGGAATTAAAAGCTTAAAGAGGATGGAGCTGTTCTAGTATTCTTTAAATGAGAAGAAAAGGAAAACAAGGGAAAGAAAAGAACTACCAAAACTTAATTCTGATTATTGGAAGGTTTGAATGATCGGGGGATTGTGTGAGGATCGGGAATGACTTTCCTTAAGGTTCTTTTTGACTTTAGAACAAAGGACTTCTGGATTGAAAGGACTAGAAAACTAACTGAAAGTGAGTATGAATTGTAAGTGCTGAACTGAAAGTCAAGGACTGGAAAGATAACTTCATTACTAAAAAAATTGAAAGCACAAGTGCTGAAATGTAAAGTGTAGGAAATTAAAGCAATTGAAAGTGCAAGGACAGATAATGAAATGATAATTGAACTGCTATTGGTTTTGTTTGCTGAACAGGGTTGTAAATGTCTCCAATCAATTGTACTAATAGGTCTACTGGTTTGCGGCTTCTAAAGTAGTCTCAAGTCTTAACCTTCATTAGGGCTGCAAATGAGCCGAGCCGAGCCGAGCTTTAGGCTGTTCGGGCTCGGCTCGTTTGTTTATGGGATCAGCTCGGGCTCGGGCTCGGGCTCGGCTCGTGACGAGTTCAAAAATTTGAGCTCGGGCTCGGGCTCGGGCTCGTCTTGATTTTAAAAGCTCAGGCTCAACTCGGGCTCGGCTCGTTTAAAAAAAAAAAAAAAAAAAAAATTAAAATTAATTAGTATTCTACCGGCCACAATACCTTTTTCCATTGCTTTATCAATTATCACATAAGCAAAAAGAAAAAGGGCCAAAAAAAAAAAAAAAAGGTGCAGTAGTGCAAGCTTTTATGTTTCAAGAACAAATTAAGGGTTAATTTCGAAAAAAGAAAAAAGGACAAAATTGAGCATGAGTGCATTATGCATTTTCTATGAAAATACAACACATCAAAAAGTTATAAATTCCCATGATAATAATATCTATAGAACCACTGAAACATTGTATATATTAAGTAGAAAAAGAAATCACAGAGGAAAATAAGTTAGAGATAAATTAATTTAGCTACCTGTGGCCATTGAGCATTAATTGATGCAGTACCTAATTGATGGCGAGGACAGAGGATGGCCAACGATGATGACGAGGATAGAGGGACAGCGGCACAGACGACGGCGGGAAACGGATGACGTCCATGGCGAAGACAGAGGACCGCGGCCGACGATGACGATGACAGACGATGCGTTCAGATCTGAGAGAGAGAGTTATGGCGATTGAGTTGATTAGAAAGAGACAGAGAAGTAGTTGTGTAAATGGAAGGGTTGTCGTCGCCGGTGGAGTTGATTCGTAACTCGTGAGTGAGTGATAGAGAGAGAGAGACTGACGATGTTGTGAAGAAGAGGCAAATCTGAATGGTGGGGTGTAGTTTTAGGGTTTTTTGATATCTTACAAAATCAACGGATGAGATGGGTTCTAATTTAATGGGTGAGACGAAATCTTATTTGGGCTATGGATCTATGGTGGATTTTCTTTGGGCTAGTGAGTTATAATGCTTGGGCCATATTAATGAAAAATATGAGCTGGGCCAAACTTAAAAATAATATGGACTAAACATTTTAAATGTACAATAAAAACAAATAGGCCTGATATATATAGAATGGGCCTGATATATGTAACGAGCCTGATACGAGCTTTGTTCATGAGCCCTAACGAGCCTTAACGAGCCCATGTTCATGAGCCTATGCGAGCCGAGCCCAACGTTGCTCAGGCTCGGCTCGTTTAGTAAACGAGCCTAGAAATTGGGCTCAAGTTTGCTCGTTTGCTTAATGAACGAGCCCGAGCCGAGCCCTTAACGAGCCGAGCCCGAGCTGTTCATGAACAGCTCGGTTCATTTGCAGCCCTAACCTTCATACAATTCCAACTTTAGTTGGTCTCTAAACAAAAATCTTCTAAGCAGCAATATGTCAGTTTTGTATCTTCGAATGGAAAAGCCCCTTGAGCCGGTATTCAATTATTGATGCATCTTCTCAATGACTGCCAAAGAACTTGGGTGTGATTGTGTAACCTTCTCTGTTTTTTTAATCTTTTCTTTTCTTCCTTCTATAACCTTCAAATTTCAATCCTTCACATCTTTTAAGATTTTTCATTCTTTTGGTGTTGAAAGTAAAGACACTACGTAAGTTTATATAGAACCCCTCATTGCTTTTTTTTTTTTTTTTTTCCCTATTCTTTCCCTCTGTTTAATCCTTCACCATCTATTTCTTTGCTTTCTTTTCCTCTTACTTTATTAAACTCTTTTTAATCAAACTCTTTAATCCTTCACCATCTATTTCTTTGCCTTTTCCCTCTTACTTGATTAAATTCCTTTTAATCAAACTCTTTTATCTTTCACAGGTTGTTCTACACCTATGTGGTACCAGTTTAAGGCTTCACCACTACGATATATAATTATATATATCTTTTATCTTTCACAGGTTGTTCTACACCTATGTGGTACCAGTTTAAGGCTTCACCACTACGATATATAATTATGTATACGTTTTTTTTTTCCTAGTTTTCACCACTACGATATATAATTATATATACTTTTTTTTTTTCTAGTTTTCACCACTATGATACCACAAAGTGGGATACCAAATGTATAGAGAGAGAGGTCATTATCAAGTGTGGTCCCTGTTAATCGACGGTTCAAGGGTGCTGGTAGGGGAAAACTAACTACAAACCTATCCTTTGGCATTTTTTTTCACAAATTGGCTACTCTCAAGATACACACCCACATTCTCGCACTTGACAACCAAGCCTTTAACCACTGCAATAGGCAATGGCCACTTAAAAGTGGGATATTATATATATATATATATAGTTCAATTCAAACCCAGTAAAATATGTTATACAAAAAAATAAAAAATAAAAAAATCAGTAAGAATCAAACACAAATCACTGTTAAATATGGCCACTACACAATTTCATTCTGCTACTGCAGAGACGGACCATATATATATATATGTAGACTAATTTATACATACACATATCAAATCCCTAAATTGAAAACCAAATCCCTAAACTGAAAATCCCAAATCCCTAAACTGAAAATCAAATCCATAGCAAAACTCACACAACCAACAAAATACATAATCAAATCTTGATACCATACTTATCCAACCAACCAAATCTATAACCAGATTCACAAAGAAAACAAAATCCATAACCACGAAAACTTGCTACAGAAAAAGGAGTGTGATTTGTGTTTACCTCAACAAAATCTGAGCAAGAGTTAGATCTAGAGGAGAGAAGTGGGCGCAGCGATCTTACAAGAGAAGCGGTGGACAGGAGAGAGAAGCCGTAGAGATGAGAGAGAAGCGGATAAGCAGTAGAAAGGAGAGAGAAGCAGAGAAGCCGTAGGTCTGTTATGTCCGAGAGCTGCTTCCCGTTTTTTTTTAAGTGCACAATGTTCTCCGCATTGCTTCTTCATGTTTTTAGAAACTCCCTTGTTTTCACAAAACTGATACTCATTGAACTCAGTTTTATGAAAACATTTCCATAAAACAGGTTCCAAGTAGACAAAAAAATGAACGAACTGTTTTTTGTAACTCCCAAAACAGAAAACTGTTTTGGGAGAACCATTCCAAGCAGGGCCTTAAAATTGGCGGCTTTCCAAGCGTGCGAAATTCCTAATATTCCTCCCAAATTCGCATCGAAACCCTAATCCTAGCTCTAAGCCCAAATTTCTCGAGTTTCACCTTCAGATCAAGGAAAATAACCAGGTACGTATGTTGATCTCTGTTCTTGGTTCATTATTTTTTCTTCTCTGAATGTATATATATATATATATATATATATATATATATATATTTGGCTATGTTCTTCTCTGAACTCATCTCTGTTCTTCTCCTCTCTTCCTTCTGTGAACTCTCATTAATTTACTTCTTTATTTCATCTTCACAGCATGGCGGATTAGTCTAAGCTCCCAAATTCGCACACATCGATCCTCAACCAAAATCCACACGAAACCCTAGTCCAAACCAGATTGAGGAAAATAACCCATGTTCGTATGTTGATCTCTGTTCTTGGTTCATTTCTTTTGTTTTGCTTGAGTGAAATTTAAGAATTGATTATTTTATATTTTGTTGTTTTTGAATTAATTTGTTCTTGGAGGATTATTTTTCTGATTGGGTATTTCTAACTTTCCATGGATGTTCCCAATTCAATTTTATATGATTTTGGGTAATCGGGGTTCCGGGCCTGACAGACATGGTTTTAGCTAATGAACACTATGATACCACGTATTAGGACCTTAGACCAGGAGATCCTATTACTTTACCAAAGAATCAGAGAAATGATATATAAAACAGTATATGTAACAAACAACAAAGCCAGTATTTGACATTGCACACTTGATTAATCAACTAACCTCTTCAAACTTATCAAGCCTCAAGCATCTAGCACTGGGACATTTGAATGTGACATTACAAATTAACAAGTTGCAGTACCTAGCTGCCCTTTAACCAAGAAGTCTAGCTTAAGGATAATACGATTAAACAAGCAATCATGCTTTTTTTTAGCTTCCAGCCTACACAATTCAGAAAATTAAATCATCAATTAACACACATACACAAAAACAGGCTTTCTTTTCAGTTAAATCATAAATGAATTAGATAAAACAAAAAATTAAACCAATGAGGAGAACATTAGGATGGCCCTGCTCAAGAACAGAACATGCAAATCGAGAAATGGTTTAAATTTTTATTGACTAGGTAAAAAAGACAAAAATAAAACACTATTCTATGCAGTCCTGGGGCTTAGTTTTCCAAATTGTGGAGATAAAACTGTCAGCAAGCTATGGGTATGCGGTCTTGGAGGGATCCTCAGTTAATACAAATCAAATCATACTTTTCTTGGCAAACCATCCAACTCAGTAAAGAAGTTGGGGGATCAAGGGTGCAGAGCCATTTATTTAGAATTTTAAGTTTCATTTCCTAACTAAATATATAAAATGCTAGGAAAACTTTCTACCTCTATAATCATTCTAAGTATCATTTCCTAACTAAGTTTTTATAGTAGTTTAAAGTACTATTTCGTATTTATCCCACTAAAACCAACATCATATTATAATCACACTTTAACTATGTTTTGGAAAAAAATAAATTAAATTGTCTTCTATTTCAATTTTGAAATGTTATTTATTCAATACTTTTAAACATAACATTCAAGTACAAAATAAATAAAATAAATTAGCATTCAAGTAATCTAGGATGGAATAGTAGGGAAGCCTAGTAGTGAATCATTAGTCATCATATTTCACCAAATTAAAAGGGACATTTGGTAAGCCAGCTTCAATTACTAATTGTTCAAGTCAACAAGGTAAAACTTACTCACATGCATTAGCGCAACTGTCACGTTATGTTATCTATTCAATAATTATTTCATAATTGTTCCCAACTCCCCAACTTGGGAACAGTTACTGAAATAATTATTGTACAATAAACTTGGGAACAATTACTGAAATTATTATTGTACAATAACAAATAGCATTCAACTCCTCAACTTGGGAACACTTTTTTGTTCTTTCCAACAACCAAAAGGGGGAGGAATTAGATGATGTATTACAACTTTGTCTCTCATCATTGGTCTCCCCTTTGGTATTCAATTCACATCATATTAACCCAAAATACAGAAAGGATTGTAGTCTAATGGTAGAAGGTCAAGGGTTCAAGTTTCTAGAATAATAACAATTGCATGGCCTAGCAGATTCATCAAAATTTGTAAGTCTAAATACTTTTTTGAGCACATTTTAAAAAGTTTTTAACGATATATGTATCTGAAAAACACTATTTGGTTTACATGCATGGCCGAACGTGGGATAAGCTTGCATTTCTAAGTTTTTGCTTAAATATTGATGCTTGAGGTATGTATTTTTTTTCCTTGGATTGAAATTGCTGATTTTGTGTGTGAAAGTTGGATGTATTAGAGTTTGAATTCAGGCTTCTTCAATTTTTTCTACATCCAATTTTTTCTCTATTTACAGGTTCAAGATTATCATCTTTTTTTGGGATACCTGGGTGTGCTTTTTTTGGGATACACTATTTGGTTTACATGCAGGGCTGGAATAAGCTTTCATTTATGAGTTTTACTTAAATGATGCTTAAGGTATGTAATTTTTTATAGCATTGCTTCCTATCAATTGTTTTGCTTAAATGATGTGAATTTGGAGTTAATTTTTTCTGCCCTTCTTATATTGATCTCAATTTGATGAGTTTGTACAAAGATGTGAACTTGGAGTTAATTTTGTTGAATTTGTGACTAAATTTTGATGGGTTTTATTTGCTTCAAAGTGGGTTCTTCAAGTTAGTATTCATTAGCCTAGTATTACTGAAAAGGAGCTAGCCCAATGCACGAGGCTCACAGGCTAATGCCATTGCAGGATCTAGGGAGTGTTTGTTGTACATATGCAGCCTACCTCCCCATGTGGGGAGGCTGTTTATTTTGAAACCGTTAGCTCCAGGTCACAATGGTGTAACCCCCATTCGCGTAGTATAACTGTAGTCTGCATTAGCTTGATGAACTAGATAATTAATCTTCCTATTACTTTTGTTCTGTCACAATCCCTTATCTTCAACTTATTGCAAATTTTTGCTTAAAGTGTATGTCCAGTAGGTTCTTCATGTTTCGCTCTTTCTCTTTCTATATATATTAATTTAAGTCCTTCCTCTTTAGAGAAATCCTTTGTGTTGTGATTGGTCATAATAATCTGTTCTTATATAAAATAAAACTTTTATGGTTTCTTTTGTTTTTGATTCCTGAACATGGGTTTTTATGTGTTACATATTTCTCTTGACTTAGATTGAAATAGGAATGGCATATTGGCTGCTCTTCGATTTAAACTTTCCCTATACACTTACTAGGTCATATTTCTATCATTGCACCAAGCATTGACCCCTATTAAGACTGTTTATGAACTGCTGAGTTTTGATACCCTAATTAGGCTAAATTGATTAGGATAATGTATTAATTTGAGTCAACTCTTCCTAGTTCTGAAATCTGGGACATACTGATAACCTTTTCCCCAATCACTATTGTCATAAACAATATCCATATGCACATATAATATGCATTGGTGTATTTGTGTTTGTAATTATACGTGTGCTCGTCTGGAGATAGTAATTATTTAATTGAATGTTATGTTGTTACCAGGATTATCTAGTAAAAGATGTGGACTGCATTTAAAGCACGATGAACAGGATTTCGATCCGTGCTACTACTAAACCAAGGTTTATAGATTCTCTCATTATACGCTTTTGAATATTACTTTCACACACATTGTATAGTTACTTGTTAATATTTTTATCAAGATTATGTATATTAGTGTTGATGTATTCAGTAACTCTTAGACTAATTATTTTCCTTTCTATTATCTTCAAAGACTGGTTGGGATTTACGGATCAATTTGGGAAATTCGAATGCTAAGTTCTGACATAGTTCAACCAAGATGCTCAAACCCAGATTGTGATTAGAATCATTAAAGTACTCCATCACTTTGATCTTCTAGTCCAACTGCCTAAATAACATAAAGGTTGATTAATAGTCTTAATAGAAGATATATTTATATATGACGAATGTCAAAATTCTGCTTATATAAAATTTAAAATAAATAAATAAATTTTTCTTTTCTTTTTTCTTTTTTTTTTTTTTTTTGTAAATGAGGAGAATGTACATATTGATTGTTCTTTGAAAATTTTAATCTTGGGTTAGCATCTAAACACAGAAAATTGGAATTTTGAAAGACAAATGGGGAACAGACAAGATTTTGCAGGCTGTTATACAAACTGGAAAATGAGACTGGGGTTATAGACTCTCCATTGAAGTGCTTGTTTGAGTACTTAGTTATACCCTGTGAACATTAGTGGGACAATATTGGTACTTTCTTTGTAGTTGCCTTTGGTTCTACTCAAGTTAGTATATTAAGTATGTTTGCAAAAGAATTTTGCCAAAATATTACATTTGACACAAGATGACATAATTTCATGTTAATTTCCTAGTTTGTAGGTCCTGCCAACTTTTGCTGCTCTATTTTCCCATTGACCTGAATTTCAAATTTCTCAGCTACCACGGTTGCGTTTTGTATTCATGTATCTTGAAAGGGGTTAAGGTTCTTTTCCATCTTTGTACACACTGGTATTTGATAATTTACAAACACTACTTTGTTAGCCTATTAGGCCATAACCTCTCCTTTATATAAATCATCGATACATGCCTTCACCTTGGCAAATTGGAAACTAACTAAAATTCTACTTTCTGTTGCTAGATTTGATCCACGTCTTTTATTGCACGGACAACAATACATAGAAATTTACAAGGCACTTCCTTCTAGTGGTTGTGTAAGCCTCCTAACCAGAAGCTCTTAATGAAGATAATGTGCCTAAATATTCTTTCTTGTTTGCTTAAGTCCTGTATTTGATGTGAGACTGATCTTAAATTTGTATAATTTCAGCCTAACATCATCAGACTTAAGTTGAGAGCGAGCTTCAGTCTTATTAACTACCAGTTTTTTCTGAAAGATTAATGGCCTAAGACAATTAATGGTAGGCTAGCAGCTCATTTTAATGCATATCGGAGATATTACCAAAGCAACCTATTATCTGTCGCACTTTTACATGAACATTTTTTTATTATCACTTATTTCATGCATATTAATTCATAGATCTGTGTTTACCCTGATTTATTTATTTATTTTAATATATTTTTTCTTTCTTGAGTTCTTTAGTGAGAGTTTCGGCTAAAATTTTCTTCTTTGTTTTCAGTTATGTTTAGCTGCTTGGAGTCTTGCCTTGAATGCTTTGGAGGGAAAGTTTTTGCAATCTAAGCGTGATGGGAAATGCCTTGGTTGTGTTGGTATCGAAACTTTTCTAATCCTTGTACAGATGGTAACAATGAAGGGAACTTTGTAATCTTTAATGAATATAAAATAAATTTGGGATCTATTTGTTTGTGATTAGTGGGAAGTAGATGTAAATTTTCATTTTTATATGACTTGAACTCTTTTTCATCTTGTATCATATTGTTTGTATAAGGCTTGGTGTGGATATATATACCTTTGGGTGGATTTATTGTTGTGTTTAGTTGTATTGATTTTGTGTTGGGGGCAATGTAAGGCGATCATTGAATTTTTTTTTATTTAAAAATTACTTTTTACAAGGGGCCAGACCCATCGTCGAAAGCACTCTTTTTACAAGGGGTGCTGCCCGTCGTAGAAAGACCTCTTTCTACAATGGGCTGGAACCGTCGTAGAAAGCCTCGAGTCAACAACGACATGGGATATTACAACGGGCCATGCCCATTGTAGAACTGTTTTTCGCCCCTTGTTAAAAGCCATTTTTCTTGTAGTGTATGGTCATTTCATACTTGCATAAGTAACCCTAAATTCTTAAAGCACTCCAAGTCCAGGTCTATTACACGCCTCTCGCTCAAAAGAAAACTTTTCAGTCTCTCGTCTTTTTATGCCGCCTGACTGCCTCAGCCTCTATGTTATTTTTTTTCTCTCTCACTAAGATTGAGTCCTTAACCATACAAATTTAATCTCAATCTCTTAAACCACACCACACTTCGAGCGACCAGAAAGATCAACAATCTTGATAAATACAGTTTGAGCGACCAAGAAAATTTGAAGAACACAAACTTCGAACGATCGAAGTAAGTTTTCTATTTACTTTGGTCATTCATCTTTCAGATATACTTTAAAAAACAAGAGTATATCTAGATGCAGATCTTGAGATCTGGTCTCTTTCAAAGAGCTTCAAATCTGCTATCAGGTTCGGATGAGTACTCTCCCTCTTTCTAGTTTATATATATATATATATATATATATATATATATATATATATATATATATTTATTTATTTATTTATTTGTGAAATTTCTCAGAACCAGTCGTGTGTTAATATATATTTATTTCTAATTGTCCTTAATGTGGATTTAAAAGATTATAAATCAGCCTTGTGCTATCACCATTCCTCTTTCTAGGATGAACATATAAAAAGATCAATTATGATTAGTTTAAAGAAATAGACACACAAATAATAAAAATAATTGAATAATTCATGTGAGCTAAGAAAATAAATGTACGAAGAAGAAACCCTGTGTCTCTCTCTCTCTCACAAAAGTCAACTAAATCCAAAAGTACAAGGTAGGAAAAAAGAAAGATGAAATTTAACAAGGGGTCTGGTCAGTGAATCATTTGATGACCCATAGACATATGCAAGTCCACACCAACCTGCCATCACAATTCCAATTGTCCTTGATGTGTTCTTAAAAATTATAAATCAGTCTGGTGCACATAAAAGAGAACAGTCGTGTAATTCTCTCATATTTGAATTAAAAATATCTAGAATTTGTCCCTTTTCCCTTTGTTATTTAAATTAAATGTTTGCATTTACTAGAAGTTGTTTTTATTTGTTCAACATCTTCGAACATATAACATACATCTTTGTTTCTTTTTATGTTTCTCTTTAATATATCTAATCTGTTTTTTCTTTTTTCTTTTTGGTACTATAATACTTAGATGGATTCTGAAGTGTAAAAAATAACTCTTAAATATTATGAAGTGTAAAAAATAACTCTTACATATGAATATTACACTTACCTGTTTTGTAAAATCTGTATGTTTTGGTGTTTCAGAAAAGAGAGCATAAAGGTTGGTGTTTCAGAAAAAAGAGCATGCAGAATGAAGATAAAGTTTTTGAGCTTTGGATCTGGATTGACTTCTATTTCTTTAGACTATTCTGTTATACATTTCTATTTGGCTCTATAATAACTAATAACTTATGCTCACCTTGGCATCTACTACAAGGTGAACTTATTTTTGGTTTTTATTCTCTCTTTTGGACAATTCTGTTATACATTTCTAGTTTAATCTTGGTCTGTTTTTTATTATTATTTTCTACTAGAAGGTTAACTTATCTTTGGAGTAGTATTTTTTCACTATTTGATTATATTGTTTGGCTTCTAAGCATTTTAAACAGGTTAATGGGTAAACACTTCAAACAGGTTAATAGGTAAATAGTTTAAATAGGTTAAATAGGTTAGTGGATAAACAGGTTAAACAGGTCGTGTTTATTGTGTCTAACACGACCGGTTTATTAAATAGGTGACAGCACATGTAACCCGTTTAATAAACGGGTCGTGTTAAGGTTCAGGATATCTGACACGATTATTAATCATGTCATGTTCGGGTTGACATGTTTAGTGTTATAACCCTAGGTTGACACGACATGATTATGACACGCGAACACAAATTGTCACCCCTAATTGTATACTCCCTTTATCCCAGTTCCCAAAGGCGGTTTAATTTGGGGCAAAGGGAGTATCTCCGATGGTTCATTCCATCTTACATATGAGGTCTATATATTGAAGCAAACTTATAGGCAATATTGGTGCAGATAGATCCCACTTTGATTAAATGATTTGGTTGTGGACCAATAATTTTCAACCATACAATTAACATTACTAACTTTCCCTCAAAAAAATTTCCTTTTTGATAGTATATTATGAATATTAAAAATAAGTGTATTGGGTTTTGAATGGAAAATGCTTCAGGCTTGTCCCATCAACATAGATTGTGTCTTGCACACTAACGTATCCCAATAAAAGGTTAACACTTCTTTTAAACTTTAAAAAATAAAAAATATGGGTTATACCTATTTTTTTAGGGTTAAACCTGACAAATCTATTTTTTTTTTTTCTCTTTTTGCCCCCATCTATGTATCTTTATTTGCATCTTTCTTTTTTCTTAACCGCCAATCATTCCAAACCTAATATTCCCATTGTGTCCTCCACCACTCCGCATCAGATTGGATTTCGATTTCGATTTCAATTTGGTCTTAGCAAGAATTGATTCATTTTCTTAAAACAAGTATGTTAAAATATTATATTTGTCCGGCGTGTAATTTTTCTGTCTTTCAAATAGCTTAAATCGAGTAAGAGATTTTGTTCAAATTTTTAATTTTTTTTTGCTTTAAAAAACAAGGACAATGGTTTTCTATTATGTTCCTTTTGCTCTCATTCTTATTTACAGAAAAAGGTACGTACGAAATAAAAATAAGATAGAAACCATAGAATTAAATGAAAAAAGGAATAACTTTCTTATATAGCATGCATAAAAAATAGTTGAGGTAGATTTTAAAAAGGGAGAAATGTGAGTCGTACGCAGCGGAATATTTAGAAAGTTTTGATAATTTTAAAATAAATCTGTATCTTTTCCAACTTTACTTATTTTAACAATTAATTAAACAATTAATCACATGCAGATAAAATAAAGCAAAGTATAAAGTTAGAGATGACACTAGGATTTTTAGCGAGGAAACTCCAGTTGATAAAATATATTAACTGTTTGTATGTGAAAAACCTCATAAACTGTGCAGTCCAAAGTAAACCGATCCACTATACTTGAAACAAAGTACACTGAACTTTGACTTTGGCTCATACCCTATCATTTTACCAAACACCAACTGTTGACAATCCTCTGACTTTGCGACTCCCTATCTAACAGCAACTTGACCTCAGGCTTATGCTTAATATTTGTAGAAGAGTAGCAGGTAGATTAGACAACACTCCATATATGCTCCAATCCTTTCAAAGTGTGATCGCTTTTACTTTTGTTCTTTAATCGTCTGAATTCGATGTAGAAGTAGATCTGCTTTCGTCTGATCGATGTAGATGCAACTGTATAATCACGATCAGGATTTGAACACAACTCTAAACTCTCTATGTGTTTATATGTATGCGTTCTAGAAAGATGACAGAAAAATCAACTCTGATTTTCTGCAAAAATAATTTTCCTAAGGCTTTTAAGAATAATGAATTTGTAGAACAAAAGCCGTGAATAAACCTATGTGTATGACATGGTTTATATAGAGGTTTGTAAAGTCCTCTTCCTTCTGAAAATAAAGAAAATTTCGTGCATAGGACTTGGAAGGAAAATTGGATCAAAAAGGAATCAAACAGAACAAGAAAACTGAAAACCTATTGCTGCTAGGACTTCTAGTACTGGTTCCCAATCTTGGTATCGGTTCCCAAATGATAGAATGGAGTTCTTCGAATCTTAGCTTCTGGAACCGGTTCCCAAATTCACGTACCGGTTCCCACTTGACAAAATCCAACTGGAACTTGGATTTTCTATATTTTGGTAACTCTGAAGATATACCATGTAGGTAATTGTGTCCTAAGTGGGACACGATGTCCTAATGTGTTGTTCTTTCCTTTTCGATGATTAACAATACTTTTCTCTTCTGAAGAACCTTCGAATTCCGCAGTCGATGTCGATTCTGATATGGTAACTAGAATTACAACTCGACTAGGACTTGTTTTGTCAAAATATGTTAATTACAAAAATATATCTCACAATCTCCCCCTTTGGCAATTTCGTGACAAAACCCTAAAAACAATTCATAATCTACCCAAGCAGAAAAGTAAATTATAACTGTTTAAGGAAACACAGAGTTTTGTTATCTCTGTTCTCTTCTGCTCTTGGACAAAATTTCACCTAAATTCCTGCACATGGATCAAGCAAAACTACCAGTGAAAGTTTAATAAAACAAGTTTAAAACTCCCCCTGAATAAATTATCCAAAAATTTTAAATTTTTTATATTTTTTCTCCCCCTTAATATAACCTTGTTCTTCCCCTTTTTGGAACAAAATTGACAAAACAATTGAAACAGGTCATTGAGAGTAGAAACAATACTAAACAGAGAAAACAGTAATCAGTTTATTACATGTCAGCAGTCAAAAGATAATATCCAAAAATATCAAGTTATGATAATGTAAAAACTGAACAAAAAGTGATGCATATATGATATGAATATAGAATCAAGCATCAACATCATCTTCTAGCAAATAAAACAGTAGTAGTCGGAATCTCTGCATCACCACCATCAGTGTCACTACCACTACCATCCTCATCATACTCTGCATCCTTATCTCATCCTCCTCATCTCTGTCATCCTTAAGAATAAGTGACGGATCTAGAGGGGCTGGTCTGTAGACGTCCTCAGAAGTACTACCTGTCATCTGCTCTGTAAGAAATTTAACCTCAGCCTTGAGATAAAAAAACAACATCCATCATGGCCTTCT